TTCTCTTTCTCTCTATTCTCACTCCTGACCTCACACTAGGGGACTTCAATGTATATATTGGTGTTCTCTCAATTACTCTAACTTCCCGCTTCCTCAATGTATTCAGTTCTCATAATCTATTCCTCCGCTTGACCTCAGCTATACACAAAGGTGGTCATATCCTTAATCTCGCCAGTACCCATAAGCATTATGTTTTTATGTTACTAATAGCCAGCATTGATATAGTACTTTAAGATTTACCAGGTACTTTGCAAATATTATATCATTTGATTCTCACAACAATGCTGGAAGGTAAATGCTATTATTATTCCTAATTTATAGATGAGGAAACTGAGGCAGCAGTGGTTAAGTGACTTTTTCAGGATTATACAACCAGTAAGTATCTGAGGTCAGATTTGAACTTGGGTCTTTCTGATTCTGGGTTCATCACTCTATCCACTGTACCACCTACCTGCCTATAGCGCAGTGAACTCAAAAATCATTTTATCATAGTGGATAGAATTGTCCTTGGAGCCAGAAAGACTTGGATTCTAGTCTCACCTCTCATTTATACTGGTTGTGTGACCTTGGGCAAGTCATTTAATTTTTTCAGTGCTCTAGGCAACTCTTTAAGATGATTAAGTTGCAGAGAAAGTGCTGACCTGCACTGAGAGAGGGAGTTTCTTCTTATGGGAGTTTCCTATATTTATGAAATTCCCAATCCATTCACTATCCCTATCTCTGACTTTCCCTATGCCTTAAGACCTTTAACCCTATTTTCTGTCCCTGGGACCTCCAATCCCTCCATCCCCTCAATACTTTTCCCAGGCTGTCACTCCTATACTTGCCTTTCCAATCTCAATGCTTTGGTGAACCACTGCAATGCTGCGCTATCCTCTACTCCTGGATCCCTTGCTCCCCTTGTCCTACTACTTTGCCATTTGCCTTCCCACTCAGGTGCCAAAGTGTTTCTCCTAAAGCACAGATCTGATCAGTGACCTCTTATAATCTTCACAATCAAAGACAAAAATCCTTTGTTAGACATTTAAGGCTCTTCATAATCTGGTCCCCCTCCTGCGTTTCCAAACTTTTTACACTTTATTTCCTTCTGAAAACTCTATGATCCAGCTTCAGTGATCTACTTATTTGTTGTTCTTCAGCCTTCCATCTCCTGTCTCCTCTTGGCATCCCTTCCTCAATATCCAACTCAGATGCGGCCTTTCTATATCACTTTAGCCATAGGTTTCTTTCTATTTGCTCTGTATATATCTTGTATGTACTCATTTACTTACATGTTGTCTCACCATTAGAACAGAAACTCCTTAAGGGAAGGAACTATTTTTTGCTTTTCTTGTGTGCCCACTGCTTGGTATGGTATCTGGCATACATATGTCCTTAAGCAATACTTGTTGGAGCAGCTAGATGGCGCAGTGGATAGAGCACTGGCCCTGGAGTCAAGAGGACCTGAGTTCACATCCAGCCTCAGATATTTGATACTAGCTGTGTGACCCTGGGCAAGTCACTTAACCCAAATTGCCTCACCACCCCGCCCCAAAAAAAGAAACACTTGTTGACTGTTCCATGTCTCTCTACTTTTGATTCATGCAGTAGGTATGTACTGAGTATTTAATGTGTGCCTAACCCTGTGTTCAACTATTTGTGACAGAGGACACAGAAATGAAACACCCACTGCCCTCCTAGAGCTCCCCATCTAGTCAGGGAGACAAATAACAGAGGATGGGAGTATAAAATCGGGGGATGGATCGTGTGGCTCAGACTCTAATCCCACTTCCCGTGTTCCTTGACTATTCTCAGCTCAAAAGGGAACATTTCTTCTCTACTCTACAACCCTGACTGTCTGTTCCACTCACTGGGCCCTGACCACAGTCTGCCTGGGTTTGTTACCTAACCATTTCCTACGTGTGAGTTCCGTCTCTCAGCTAAACTGTGCATTACCTGAATGCTAGGACCTATCAGCTTTGTCTCCATCTCCTCCTCAGTACCTTGGACAGGGCTGGGAGTTTAGTCAATGCTCAGAAAATGATTTTAGATGATTTCGTGTATTACCCACTTCAGACTGCTGGCTTCACATCCGTCTGTACTATCGAGACGTCCTGGTGAAGGAGGCCATTGCTCACACTGCCGAGGGCTGCCGCTTGACAACCCAGCCTGTGCCCATGGACAGCCCACATCTCTATGGCCCTGCCAGGCTGGAGCAGATCCAGTTCCCGTCACCTAAAGCTCTGCCAGGGGCCAGCCCACCTGTCACCCAGATTCTGGAGCGCCTCTTGCCTCACCTGGACAGAGGAGTCCTGCTCTGGGTAGCTCCTGAGGGGGTCTTTGCTAAGAGGCAGTGCCAGGGCCGGGTTTACTGGCGAGGCCCCCTAGCACCCCATTGTGACCAGCCCAACAAATTGGAAAGGGAGAAGACCTATAAGCTGTTGGACACCCAGCAGTTCCTGTATCGTAAGCTCCTGGTGGGAAGGGGGGACTGGCAAGGTCCAGTTTGGGGGGTAAAGGAGGGTTATTGGTGTGGAGAGGAGCACAGGAAGATGAAGACACCCTTTTTGTGAAGTAAGATATAATTCAGTCAGAAGGCATGTATCTGAGTCCAAGTTCTGTTATTTACTACCATTTACATGCCCCTTGTATGTCCCTGAGCTTCAGTTTCCAAAAGGAGATCCATATTTCTACTCCCTACCTTACAGTGCCATTGTGAAGGTAGAATTTTATAAAACTTAAAGTGATATAAAGGTGTAAGCTGTTGTTAATGTCACTTCACCCACAAAATTTCAGAGGCATCATGTCATAGTAGAAAGAGAGAGCAGGGAGGGGAAGGAGAGAGAAAAAGAGAGTGGGAAGGGGAAGAAAGGGATGGAAAGAGTAACAGAAAAAGAAAGGAAGGAAATGAGGGGAAGAGTAAGGGAGAAAGGAAGAGAGGGAAGGAGAGAGGGAGGGAGGAAGGAAGAAAGGAAGGAAGGAAGGAAGGAAGGAAGGAAGGAAGGA